GTAGGGTCATCCATGGTGGACAGGTGTCAGTGGAGTTTCCAGACTAAGATAGACTAGGAAGAAAGACCTGGCAATCTACTTCTGAAAAATTAACCAATGGAAACCCTATAGATCACAAGAGAATATTGTCCAATACAGTGTTGCAAGATGAGCCCTCTAGGTTGGAAGGCATTTAAAATACACAGTGGCTGCAAGAATGGACTTGAGTATATCAGCGATCATGAAGATGCTGCAGGATCGGGCAATGTTTCATTCTATTGTATATGGGGTCGCCATGAGCCTGAGCTGACTTGGTGGCAACTAAAAATAACAACACATTTATCTCACATGATTTTAAGGGGATTAAATGAGATACCGCATGCACCAGGCTAAAGTTCTATCCAAATGTAAGATCTTGGACCAGGGCCCGTCTCTCGTGTACTAGGTCTCAGAGGTGATGGAATCTCCCCACATTTTTGCAGATTGATCATTTTCAGATTATTATGCATTCTCCCCTTTTATTTTTTCCCTCCTGTGTGAATGGCTTTTTTAAAATTCTTCTCACTGAACCTTCCACCAAAGGAATTAGACCAAAATCAAACTCGGTGCCATCGAGACGATTCTGACACATAGTGACCCTATAGTGACCCTATAGGACTGAGTAGAACTGCCCCATAGAGTTTCCAAGGAGCGCCTGTGGATATGAACTGCTGACCTTTTGGTTAGCAGCTGTGGCTCTTAACCACTACGCCACCAGAGTTTCCAAAGGAATTGGAGCAGAGCTAAAAGCAGATCAATCTATTTATGAACCCTTCAGTCAACTCCCTAAAAGTTTTGGGTGAAAGCAGGCCGCCTCAGACATCTATCCTCCAGATATTATAATTTCTAAACGAGAGCCAAGTAAGATCACCGCTCACATCTAAACTAAGACCAGAATTTGATGCATCTACACAGACTGACCACAGTCCACCATTTCAGAGCGTCCACATTTCTGGACACTCACACCTTCATTTCTTTGTCCCTGAGATCCTTCTGAACCAGATCAGTAAAATTATTGGTATACTTTTCTTCCCCCTTTACTACTGTAAAGACATAATTATGGCACTGATGCTAAAATGTGTAGACTGGATCAAGTTGAGAAAGTTTGGGGTCTGATCCCTTATGGAAAACCACCACTCCTACTTTGAAAGGCTGTTCTCTGAGGCCCATAAAACAAAACGAGACTAAATGGGCACACCAGCCCAGGGGCAAGGACAAGAAGGTAGGAAGGGACAGGAAAGCTGGTAATGGGGAATCCAAGGTTGAGAAGGGAAAGTGTTGACATGTGGTAGGACTGGCAACCAATGTCACAAAACAATGTGTGTATTTAACGAGAAACTAGTTTGCTCTGTAAACCTTCATCTAAAGTACAATTAAATAATAATAATAATTTTAAAAAAGGCTGTTCTTTGCTTCTCAGCCACCAAGCCGTGCAGAAATTAGAACAGTTCAAAGTTCACTTAAGTCTCTTAATAGCTCTTTAACAAAAAAACAAAACAAAACAAAAACCCAAACCTGTTGCTGTTGAATCGATTTCAACTCATAGCAATCCTGTAGGACAGAGTAGAACTGCCCCATAGGGTTTCCAAAGCTGTAACCTTTATGCAAGCAGACGCTATACATTCCTCCTGTGGAGCAGCTGGTGGGTTCAAACCGCCAACCTTTCGGTTAGCAGCCCAGCACTTAACCACTGAGCCATGAGCGCTCCTTTTATAGCTCTTTTAAGAGCTTGTGAAAGGAAGATTATAACCTCAAGCTAAGGTGATAGGGGCATTTCAAGATTCAAAAAAATACAGCCATTGCAACTTAGGAGGAGCTTTAAAAACGGACCTTTTAATTCCTCTCTTTTAAGAAAATGAGAGAAGAGACGGGATATAGCTAATTTCCCGGTAAGACTTCTATCTTGCCCCAAAGGTAGTTTAATATAGGAAATTGTAGGTTTGACCTTTTTCAAAGTTTCTTCTCTGACCCTAAGCAGTTGGGCCTCCTTCAACTCTGCTATTTACTGAATTTATTTATATACCACCTCATTCTAAAGATGAGCACAGACAATTTCCCCAACTCAAGTACTGTTCTTTTTGGGGGGACAGCAAGTGATAGA